ATGATCACCAATTGTTTCTGGGGACAGTTAGGTGCTGGGGGTGAATTAAGGATCACGATGGAAAGGTCCTGCCCCTGTGAAGTTCAGGCCTAGAAACCCCTTCCAAGGTCTGCAGAAGGGAAGTGGCCTCTCCTGCTGGGTCAACCGTGGCCTGCACTGGCAGACACCAGCGTGAAGGACGATCATCCGCAAAGGTCTGGTCGCAAGACCCGTGAGAAATAGTTCCAGAGCGCAGGCTGCCCTCAAGACCTGGCCCCGGGCAGCACAGTGCGTTTTTCAGGAAGTGGATAAAATGTCTCCCCAAAGCATTAAGCTTTTCTGTCTAGCTCCCTAAAGTCCTTCCCCTGGAAAGGGGAAATACGTACCTAGGTTGGGAAGGGCTATGTTCAGGGGAGCCTGGCTCAGGATGGAACCTGCAGGCTCCAGACCCTGAGGAAAGAACAAGGTTCAGAACAGCAGCCTGGGCAGGAAGCTGGGGGCTCGGCAGACCCCGGGGGGAGCTCGCAGCCTCACCATTGCCCCTCCGAGACGCTTCCTGCCTTGCCGCCCTCCACCCTGACCCCTCCACACTCTCTTCAGCCCAGCTCCAAGGAGAAGGCTCAGGTGGTGAAGGCCCAAGCCCCTTTGGCAGGTTCTGTGTTTCCCAAATGCTTGGAACGCCCTGAACCCAGACCCTTCAGACCACACACTTCTCTTTTATTCATAGATAAAGGGAGAGCATCAAGGCCTCTAGAGCCTTCTGGAAGGTCACAGAACTGGGTACCTAGAGCCCGCAGGTGTGACAGTGGGGCCTTTCTGCTCAACACTGGGGGGTGTGCACCCTTCTCCCCACCCGCTGCTGACTAGCAACAGTCACAAGGTGGCCCTTACACGTCAACGCAGCGCTGACATGGTGAGTCTCCCCAGGAGGTCCCAGACCTCCAGTCACACACAGGTGACCAAATCCACAGCCCCAACCTGAGCGGCCCTCTCCACAGCCCTCCTGCCCTCCGACTTCCTGCTCCTGCTCGGACTCTCTCCTAAGACTGACTTGGACAGTCTCCTTGGCTAGAAAAGATCCTGGAGCCTGCCCTCCCCACCCACTCCAGGCCCCTGTCTTTCCGCGATCCAGCAGCCCCACCTTGTTCCTAACCAGGACTTCCTGTGAGCAGGGACCCTGCAGTCTCTGGGGTTGGATTTCCAGCACCCAGCTCTGCCTCCGCCCCAAGAGGACTTCTGATGTTGAGAACAGTTGGTGTTTTCTGGTAAGTCATTCAACTGCAGTCTTCATGCACCTGTAACACGACCCTGCTCAAAGGAAGACATGTTATTAACAACAGGAAGACAGCACAATCCATCTATTAAACCGTGAAGATATCCTTAAATCCCCAGTTTATGAGGACGCGGGCACTTACCGTGAGACAATGAATGTGCATAACTTAGAAATTTGTGGAAGGCAACTTGACATTGCACTCCTGGACATCCGTGTTGTATGTATCCTTGTGTTAGGGTTTGGGCATGAGGTGTGCTCCCAGGAACGCACATACTAACGCAGGCATGTTCAGAGGTGGAATGATGGGATTGTGAGAGTTGTGGCTTCGTTGGCTGACTGATTCCTCAGTGGGATAATGATTTGAATGGATCACTGGGTGATGACTGGAGGAAGATGGGGCGTGCCTGGAGAGAAGCTAAGCATCTTTCCTCTCCCTTCCCGTCTCACCATGATGCTCTGCCTCACCTCAGGCCTAGAGCCAGCAACCTTGGACTGAATCTCTGAAACCATGCCTGAGCCCTAAATAAACTTTTCTTCCTTTGAGTTGTTCTTGTCAGGTATTTTCGTCACAGCAATGAAAAACTGACTAACCTCCTTTCATCTGACACTTGATCATTTAAAATGTGCCCCAAAGAAATTATTCCATGTACAGCTAGAAATACTGGCCATGGAAATGTTTATAACACTCAAAAATTGGAAGAAATCTTTACAACAATAAGAGATTAAATACAAAATTGTTGTATACCTCTTCGATGGAATGCATACTGACATTAAAAATGATCCTAAGTGATGTTACCATTAACATATTAAATGAAGAAAACTAATACTAAGCCATAACAATCCATGTTGAATAATTTTCTTTGGTTTTGAAATACTCAGATGATAGGAGATAAAAAGACCAAATCATCAATAGGAGTTGCCAATGGGCAGTGTGATTACCAGCACCTTCCATTGTTTTATTTTAACTTTACTCTTTTATATAAAATAACGTTTCATTGCCTCCTATGAAAATAAATATTAGAAAATTTTCATAGGAGGAAAAATGAAATATCCCTTGGGCAGTAATGACCATAGACTTTCCTGCTCACAACTGCTGTTTCTAAATACCAGGAAGGAATGTGGAGTCCCGAACCAATTCCGGCCCAAGCCGGGCCGGGGCAGTGGACTTTGTGTGGGAGGGTGGGCGTGAGCTCCGTGGAATTCAGGAACCCAGATACCCTTCATTTGTAACCTCCCGTAGGCACAGAGGCCACATCTGCATTGGGACAGGAATTTCAAATATGAGTTTTTCCTTTGGACTTGTCTATCAGGTTTCCAAAACAGGCAGGGACTCAACCACATGGGGAAAGCACCCCCTCGCAGGGTCCCGCCCTCCGCAGCCTGGAGACAGTGTAAGAGAGACTCAATGGGGCAAATAGAAAATGCCCTTCACACAAAAGGAAAGACAAAATTGAAAATCAACGTCCATCCAGATGAAACGTGGTGACTCTGTCCACCCCAGGAGCTTGAAGGTCCTGTCAGAAGAGGCCGAGTCCTGCAGGATACCGGAGCATCGAGAGCAAGCACCACCCCAGGCAGCAGCCCATCTGGCCCACCCCGACTCTGGGGACTCGGAATTCATGTCCTTATTTGACTGATGGGGAAGACGAACTTCTGAAGGCCCCATGGTCACCCAAGGGTGGATCAGGATCCTGTCTCTTTATTTGCAAAACCATGCTCAGCATACAGTGGGGAGAAATTAAATGAGAGCGTACATAACTAAAATGTTTTGAATATTATAGCACTGATTACAAGCTTCCTTCCCTCAAGGAAACATCTCTTGTCCATCCACAAAGTTCATGTGACATTACAGGAGATTATCAGGCATAGGTAAGAAAGTGCCACCCGGTCACCACAGCAGATACAAGAAAGGCTTGTCATACTGTACCCTCATTACCCTATGGGATCAATACGCTGGCAACGCAGAGGACAGATGGCTGTCTCCTGCCCACCTGTTCCTGCAGGCTCACCTACCTTTCCTCTCCAGTCCCAACACTCTTCCCATTGCTCTGGGTCCTACACCCACGGCTCCTCCTCTTTGGGGTTCTTCTAAAATCCTGCATGCATCCGCAAGAACTATTCACTCCACTTCTTTCCTACCCTGGACTCCAAAGAGCCCTTGTTATGACGTAGGGTATCTATAGCAACATTTCAGAGGGGCCAGTTATGTGGGAAGATAAACTGAAAAACCCACAGGTAAACTGAAAAAGTAAAATCAAAGCAACAGAAGTCCCAAGCTCCCTAAAGATATGGTGAGATCCATGTACTGAAGTCATAGTTTGAAAATGCTGCAAGCCTTGTGCAGAACCTGTGGCCCTCACCTTGCAGGCAGTGTTCTTGGTCCCCACTGTCCGTTCTCAAGTATACTGTCGAGTCCTATTGCCTGGTTACAAGGGAAGCACATGATTCTGTACCTTCTCCTTAGAAGGCTGCAGCCTGTCAGGAAGCAAGTGTTGTTCAGATAACCAGCCCAAACTCTCGCCCTGGTATTGTTGTATTGGGGATAGGGAGAAGGCACCCGATAGCCACAGATTCTTCAGGGCTCCAGAGCCCACAGCCTCTCGTCACGGCCCTCCCAGGGCAGGTCTTGATGACCGCAGCTGGAGGTTACCTGGGGCTTCCTGTTTTCATCTCCCTTGTCCCCCTGAATTCATCTACCCAAGATATGGCTTCTTTAAAATCTCCATGGTCTGCACCTTGAGCATTCAAATATTAAAATTTAAATAAAACCTTAAAATACAGATATCATTTTTAGGCACAAAAATTCGAATGAATCTTCATGAAGATATGTGAGATCTTATAGCTCCAAGCATCTGAAATGTGGTGAGGCAATGCTGCTTCAATTTTTTGCCACGGTCTTTATACAGGATCCCTTCCTTTATAGGTTTTGTGTGAATTAATTCTCCTGATGTCGTTTCTTATTGAATAGCACCTGCAGAGTATCTGTAAATTTATATACAAACTGTATATGTAATACATATAAGTTCTCTGGGTATTATCTATTATTTAGCCAAATAATAAGTATGTAAGCAAAAGGTACTTTTTATTTTCTTTTGGTTTTTATTTAAATTATTTTATTTCACTACTATTTTCTTAAATTGAAAAAATTTCTTAAATTATCTTATGTTTGTATTTTATTACATCAGCTTTCTAAGTTGTCTATCAGATATGATTGTTTGGGTCTGCCTTTTTACTGCCAATATATTTTATTAGTTCATACTGCTTTATTGCCATTTCTCTTTGTCCTTATCTTATATGTTACTATTAAAATAATGATAATAATAATATAAATTGTA